CATTTTTTACGTTGCAAGTGGGGCTGCCATGTGCCGTTGTGGCACGGCCGAACTCCACTATGGGGCCACGACTTCGGGTTGTAGTGGAGAGCGACTCGAATTCGCCATAAGCCGCGGTCTCCGACGGCGTAGGTGGGCGCGTCAAGGCGATGTCGATGTGGAGATCCATCCCGTCACCGGCTGTCCAGCGGCGTGCAGAGACGAACCACGTCACGACGGTGCCGACGCAAGGTTCCATCCGACCTTCCATCCAGCGGAATCCGCAAACCCTGTGCACACGGCACAGCGCACAGGGTCCCCTCACCTGCTTTTGCCCGCCGGTCGAGACGGTTGCCCGGGGTGTGGCCGCTGAGCAGAGCCCAGCTACGTGGAGCCACAGGTGAGATTTGAGTGCCAGCAAGTGAACGCTAGGCGCAGTCTCACCTGCAAGCAAGTGAGCGACCACCACGACCATCACGTCAACCCACTGCTGACACCCCTACACACGCTCACCATCTTCATTTCAGCAATGAGCTAGCTCAACGGCTAGACAACCTTCCTATCGCTGCCGACGCCGCCGCTGCCGAGGACGCCGCCGTGGAGAACCGCTGGTGTCAACTGCGAGACACGGTCCAGTCGACGGCGCACGCCCTCCTCCGTCGCGCTCCCTGCCAACACCAGGACTGGTTCGACGACAACGACGCTGCCATCAGAAATCTGCTTGCTGAGAAGAACCGCCTACACAAAGCCTACGTAGATCACCCCACTGATGCCACCAAAGCTGCCTTCTACCGCAGTCGCCGCCAACTTCAGCAACGACTGCGCAAGATGCAGGACGCCTGGACTGCTCGCAAAGCTGAGGAAATCCAAGGCTACGCGGATCGCAACGAATGGAAGAACTTCTTCTCTGCGATCAAAGCTGTCTACGGTCCGGCGACGAAGGGCACTGCTCCTCTCCTCAGCGCCGACGGTAGCACTCTCCTGACTGAGAAGACGCAAATCCTACAGCGATGGGCCGAGCATTTCCGAGGCGTCCTCAACCACCCCTCCGTCATCTCCGACGCCGCCATCGATCGTTTGCCGCAAGTGGAGACCAACGTGGACCTCGACCTCCCGCCATCTCTCCAGGAGACCATCAGGGCCGTGCAGCAGCCCTCTAGCGGGAAAGCATCCGGACCGGACCCAATCCCTGCTGAGGTCTACAAGCACGGAGGTTCCCAACTGATGGATCACCTGACTGCGCTCTTCCAGATGTGGCGTCAAGGTGAAGTCCCGCAAGATTTCAAAGACGCAACCATCGTGCATCTCTACAAGCGCAAAGGGAATTGCCAAGTCTGCGTCAATCACCGCGGCCTCTCCCTGCTGAACATCGCCGGGAAGATCTTCGTTCGCATCCTCCTCAATCGTCTGAATAATCATCTGGAACAGGGCCTTCTGCCGGAAAGCCAATGCGGCTTCCGTCGTCATCGCGGGACCACGGATATGATCTTCGCCGCCCGTCAACTTCAGGAGAAGTGCCAGGAGATGCGGACCCACCTGTACTCTACCTTCGTGGACCTGACCAAAGCCTTCGACACGGTGAATCGTGAAGGAATGTGGAAGATCATGCAGAAATTCGGCTGTCCGGAGCGATTCATTCAGATGGTGCGTCAGCTGCACGACGGTCACGAGTCACGGGCGCGAGTCACGGACAACGGAGCTGTCTCAGAGGTATTCGCAGTGACCAATGGAGTGAAGCAGGGCTGCGTACCAGCGCCTACCCCCTTCAGTCTTATGTTCTCTGCCATGCTGATGGACGCCTACCGCGACGAACGCCGGGGGATCCGCATCGCCTACAGGACGGACGGTCACCTGCTGAATCAACGGCGGATGCACTTCCAATCGCGCGTATCCACAACCACCGTTCACGAACTGCTCTTCGCCGACGACTGCTCCCTAAACACCACCTCGGAAGAGGAGATGCAACGGAGCATGGACCTGTTCTCCGCCGCCTGCGAGAACTTCGGTCTGGTCATTAACACGCAGAAGACGGTGGTGATGCACCAACCACCACCCAATTCAGCCACAGCCCCCAACGCGCCGCCGCAAATCAGCGTGAACGGAACCCAACTGCAAGTGGTGGAGAACTTCCCGTACCTGGGCAATACTCTCTCCCTCAACACCAAGATCGACGATGAAGTCGCCAACAGGATCTCGAAAGCCAGTCAAGCCTTTGGTCGCCTCCAAAGCACAGTTTGGAAGCGCCACGGTCTTCAACTGAGCACGAAGCTAAAGATGTACAAGGCCGTCATCCTGCCGACACTACTGTATGGAGCGGAGACTTGGACGGTGTACGCAAAGCAGGCACGTCGTCTGAACCACTTCCACCTCAGTTGTCTTCGTCGCATCCTGAGGCTGAACTGGCAGGATCGAATCCTCGACACTGATGTGCTGGAACGAACGGGAATCCTCAGCATCTCCACCATGTTGAGACAAATGCAGCTGCGCTGGAGCGGCCACCTGGTGCGCATGGACGACGAGCGATTACCCAAACGACTCTTCTACGGAGACGTCGCGACGGGTTCTCGCCGTCAAGGAGGCTAGATTCGCCGTTACAAGGATACCCTGAAGTCCTCCCTGAAACGCCTGCAAATCAACCCCACCAACTGGGAGGAGCTCGCACTCACTCGGCCGACCTGGAGGAGGACAGTGAAGACAGGCGCTGCAATCTTCGAAGCCAACCGCATCGCTGCCGCCAAAGCGAAACGCGAAGCCCGCAAATCACAACTTCGCCCAGTAAACAACGCAGTCACACAACCGCTTCCAACGTGTCCTCGATGTCAACGGACATTCCGGGCTCGAATGGGACTTGTTGGACATCTTCGGACTGACTGCGCCTCTCGAACTGCACCAACCATCGTCCCCCCGCCCGCCTCTTCCTCCTCCTCTCCGCCGCCAACTAACTCTGACAATTCTTCTGATCCACCACTTCCATCCTCCTCCTCCTCCTCCTCCTCCTCCTCCTCCTCGTCCACTACTCCAACGACGGCCGCTCAGGCGACTGTCCCGCGCGCAACAACCGACACTACCACCACCTCCCCCGACTCCAGCGATGAGGATCAGGACTACACCTGCCCTCATTGCGACCGCAACTTCACCTCACACATCGGCCTGGTCGGTCACTTGCGAATCCATCGCACAGAGACTGGCGAACCAGTGCCTGAAGCACCAACCTACAGACATCGCACTCACCTCCACTGCCCACACAGCCCTCGCACCTTCAGGCATCTCATTGGCCTATTTGGCCACATGCGCATCCACGAGAGCGGCCTTGACCGCACTCCCGACACACCCACCACATCCAACACATTCACCGTGCACACCCCCACCCTCGCTCCATCCGTCTGCGCCACCACCACCACCACCGGCTCCTCTTTAGCTGACACTGACATCGCCGACTTCTCATGCCCACACTGTCCACGCACATTCACCTCACGCATCGGCCTGGTCGGTCACTTGCAAATCCATCGCACAGAGACTGGTGAACCAGTGCCTGGAGCACCCACCTATACCCACCAAGCTCGTCTCAACTGCCCACATTGTTCTCGCACTTTCAGGCATCGCATGAGCCTATTCGGCCACATGCGCATCCACAACGACCTGCGGTAGACAACCGCCGGCCACACCACACATTCACTCACTCCCTACCTCCTCCTCCACCACCACCATCACCCCACCAGAAATCAACACTCACACACCTCATGCACCCAACTGCCACCTTCCACGCAAGTGGGAAGTCCGCATCTCGACTCGGTCCGCATGCGGCTTCGGCTGCAGGAGTGACTTGATTCTGAGACTATCCCGACACGTCAAGCGTCGTGGATAGGAAGGTTGCTGATTGACGCCCCCACTCGGTCCACGCAGTTCGTCCCGTTTTGTGTGTTGTGTGGAGTGGCGGACTGGTGACCTGGGAACGGGCTGAAACAGCACCTTCCACGGCACTCTCCCGCAAGTGAGAGATACGCCGTTCAACCCCCGTTGTGTGAAATCCTGGTGTTGTGTGTATGGGGGGCCAGGTCGTGCCGTGGCGCGCGCAGTCATGGTCAGTCGACCATGACAGCCACCGCGCCCATTCCCCACTCCAGTTCGCTGACCGGCTCGGACAGCGGCTGGGGTGTGGGAGTGGGAAGGAAGAGTGAGGTCGACGACTCAGCGCACTTCCTCCTCACTATAAACAATCTGACGCGCTTGAAGCTATCACGGTGCACTAAAAGCCGTGGCTTGGAAGGTTGCCAACTGACGGGGTAACTTGGACCTCCTCCTTGACTGGAGGCGGTCTGAGAGTCAGGCTTCAATGGCTCCTTTTTAATGTGTCCTTTATGGCACTCCCATCACAGTGTGGGATCCGAGCCAGGCGTTGGCGGCACTCCCAGGTGCGGCTTCGGCCGTGCCAGCCTCCAAATCTCTGTCGCGTTGGTTGAAATCCTGGTTATTTGTTGTGTGGACCAGGGGGTGTGGTGGAACGCCAAGGTGAGGATCCGTCCGAGCCATCCACCTGCGGCCTCTCTCGTCTACGGTCTTCTTGACTCTGTCTTGACACCGGGCTCGGGCGAGGGAGGAGGAGAGAGTGTAGGTAGATGCTACGCAAGTCTACCGGCACTATAAACCCCTGCGTATGTCACCGTCCCTGCTCCCATTGCTGCTGCAACTGTGGGGCACACGGTGGACATCATCGAAACCGATGGTCGAACTGTCAGGAAGTTGGGAATTACGGAGTGGTTTGGCTTATTCCTACGCCACGCACGTGGATTTCGGGGAGTCGAAATACAGTTATAGAAGTTTATTTTTTCCGGTTGGAGTTTGGAGAACTCCTATTTGCTATGTTACATATTTAGGGCGTTTTGGTTGTGCTGGTGTGTTTTATAAGGCTTTTTGGTATGTGTGCTTTGTTTGGCAGTCGTTTTTTAGAACTGGTTGATCGATTTTGGGGGCGTAGTAAAGCTTATATTGCTATCCAATGATGTCACATCACTGGGTCGGGGATCTGCGTCATTGTTCTGTTCTAGTTGAACGTTGTTGTTTTGTCGTGCTTCCCGCGTTTGGTTCCGCATAGCAGTCCTAACTGCTTTTGCAGTTACGGGTTTTTTTACCATGAGAACTAGACTCAGAAGAGCTTTCTGAATGTCCGTCTACGGGGGCTGTGGGTTTATCACTCTGTTTGCGCTGGTTTGTGCATTTCTTTCCGTTAGTGTCCCAAATAGAAGTAGTAGCTAGAGGCTCAGTTGAGGGACCGGAGTACTGATTATCGTGCTTGTAGCTGGTGCCTTTTTCCCGAAATTTGCGTCTTTGCATCGGTGTCAAATCTGGACCTATAAGTGAGTTTAGGTTACGCATATTTCTGTTTAATTCAGGATTTTGTAGGACAAGCTCAGCTTCGGTCTCTGAACAGGTTATTGAGAGGGGTTTATTTTTTCTTCTAGAGTAAAGTCTTTCTGTGGTAGCTATGAGGATGTTTAGGCCACACGAATGTATAAGTTTTTGAATTAATGGTTTTGTGTTAACCGTGTGCGGTATATTGCGGATAATCAAATGGAGTCTGCGTTTTGATCCATCCCCGATTTCTGATGAAACCAAATGTATGATCGATTCTATATGTGGTAGGCTCGTTAAGCTGTCCGTGAATGTATTTGAGCCTGTCAGTGAATCGAGAATCGTAAAAGTGTGTTCGTGTTTCTCGATAAACTTCTGTAAACGCACGGTGGCCGAAAGATCTACTTTGTCGACATCAAACTTAGCATTGGTCATGGTTAATTGGAGAGAGTGTATAGGGATTTATGTGTTATTTTCGACAGCCAATAAAAATCGGTTGAAAATTGACGCAAAAATACGTCAACTACTTCAATTATAAACAAAATTCAACTTATCTCCGATCGGAGGATTTTGAACGATTGTGCACAAACGGGCTTAGTCAGTTGATCCTCGGGTGGGAAAATCGACATCCTGACTACGCATCCCGATATCCACAGTCTCAAGTAAATTTTCGAATTTTTGGGACCGGAGGGCGGAGGTCAGCGGGCTTCAGAAGACTGAAGTCACCGGCAACCACCTGATACTTAAGACTTAGTTCTGCCGCAGCGTAAAATGCCCGTGAGAGACAACGATCAAAATTTGCATTGGCGTTGGGAGGGCGATAGACACAGCCAACGAGTTGACTTGCTCCTCCTTGGATGCCGTTCTGCCTCAGTGCCTTTTAGCTTGCCGATCTACCATGCACTCGTCCGCGGGTCAGCTCGTACTCCAGACAATTATGGCAAGCCTCCTGAAAAACACGAAGGAAATGTGCGACCGCCCTTTTACGGCTGGCCAGATAGACTGACAATCACCAACTAGAACACACCAAAATTTACGCAACTGGAAAATACTTTCAAGGTTAGGCCGATATCAAAGTTCTTCAATTTCCATG